GGTTAAGACTTGTACATGATCACGATAAGTCAAATGAGAATCCAAAGTAATTCCAAGATATTTGTAGGTAATGAAAATATCAAGGGGTTTGTTTGAAAAAGTGAGTTGATTTGTTATATTGAAATGTCTCCTGGGTGAGGAAAAATACATGCACACAGTTTTTTTTAACATTAATCGACAAAAGATTATCTTGAAGCCAACCATGAAATGTCTGAAGATCTGCTTGTAACTGACTGTTAATAGATTCAATATTGAAAGCAGACAAAAAAAGAACAGTATCAGTTAACAATCTTGTTCTTTGAATTCATAAATCGTGTGCAACATATTTCTTTCAGATTAGTTACAACACTGTTGAGGGCATCTCAAACCTTTCTCAATTGTTTCCATTATTTAGAGAGCTGAAGTTATGTTTTGGCACAGGGAGCCCTGCTTATAACAGTAAACATCCAATGTCCACAGCCTCAAATGTCCAGRCCTAAAACTCATGTCAATGCTGAATAAGTATTCTAGAAAAATCTGGTTAAATCAGCTTGTTTTCATTTTTATAGTGTACTGCAGTAGAATAAAGCCATAAAAAATGTGTCCGCTGTCAAAATGGGTGYATACGTAGTTGCAAGTTGTGCACACAAAGCACGTCACACGACTCACTTGTCACTTGGTCACAAACACTCAGAATTCTGTGAAGCCCCCCACATGCTCAGGTGTACTTTGCTTCGTGGAGGTCTGCATGAACAGGTCTGCGCAGAGATCCGTTTTTTACATCTGCTTCCATGGTGTCGCACAATAAACTGCCTTGAGAGTTTACGTCTGTTTTGGATGCGACACCAAGCAGATAATGTTGAGAATTGTGTCATTTGTGGGCCAAATTAAGTCAAATTTTGAAGAACATCCTTGATGCCAGGAAATTGCAGAAAAATAAGGAATTTGTCAGGCGATCAGTACACCCGAGTATGTGGGGACTTTAAGACTGCAACTGAAAATGTGGCTTTTTCTCACAGTTTTGAGTTACCAGCTAGATTCCAACCAGAGGAATTCTACCTACAGTGTAAGGACAGCCCTGTGCAGGTGTCAAAATACACTAATTCCAGAAACAAAGATTGAGAAGAGTTAATAGGAGTTTGAGACAACCGCACCTCTGCAATTATTTGGAT